CCTTTGCCTCCTCTCTTATCTCATCCCACCCCCTTCCTCTCTCCAATCAGTTTTGTTTTTCATTTTCCTTCTTTCTTTCCTTTCTCCTCTCTGTCACGGCTTGAATAATGTACAACTTCATTGTGTAAACCATGCTACATTTTAACATCTTAACACTCAGTACAGACTGTGTCCATCTCTAAAGGTAAGTCAGAGAAAAAGAAGTCATGAACAGCCATTTCTTGATGGACCCTGGAAACGCGAATTCATGACGTTTGGTAGCATGGCTCAGAAGGTAAAACAGTGAAGGACTCACTGGTGAAGCACTAGGCTTGCTCCCCAAAGCTATGGGCTCGATGCCCAGCAACATAAGTAAAACACATTAGGGAGACAGGCACATGCCTGAAGTCCCTGAACTCAGGAGACTGAGGAAACAAGATCAGTACTCGATAGGACTACATAATGAGGCAGCCTGTCTCAAAATCAAACAAACAAAAAACAAAACAAACAAAAGCCTACGGACATAAAACCAAACATTTTGCAGACATTAACATAATGGATGTCATGGCCATCTTTCTCTCTTTTGTCTGTCTTCTTTAAGATAGCGTCTCATATAGCCTGAATGGCCTCAGATCCCATAGGTAGCTAAAGATGCCCTGAAACTCTTGATCCTCTTGCCTCTGCCTCCTGAATACTGGGATTATAGGCCTACACAACCACCCTGAGTTTATGCAGTGCTGGAGTTACAACTGGATTGAACACAGGGTTTTATACATGTAAAGCAAGCATTCTATAACACACACACACACACACACACACACACACACACACACATACACACACCTCTTCGGTAGACCTTTTTTAAAAAAGACATATTTCTAGGTTGTATTCATGCCAAATTTGCATCAAAAAATTTTTATCTTCAATGAAGGCTAGATAACGGCAGAGCCAATTTTAATTTTTCAGTCACATACTTAATGGGAAGATTTTTTTTGAGGCAAGGTTTCATGTAGCCTAGGCTAGCCTCAAACTGGCTATACTGCTGAGGGTGACTTTGAAATCTGACTGTCCAGCCTGCACCCCTCAAGTGTAGGATTAAAGGCATGCACAACCACGCCCACATGCACAACCCTTGGTCATGAGCCTGCTTTCCCTCATGGTAATGTGTGCTCCAGCAGATATGTGAGCCTCAGAGGGTAATATCGTCCTGGCTTTGTTTGGATACCTGTGCTCTTTTAACCCAAGCACCACGTAAGCCAGGCCTGTGGTCCCAGTGATGGAGATGGGAGGATCAAAGATTCAGAGTGACCTCAAAGACAGATGGGCTACATGAGACCAGAGAGAGAGAGAGAGAGAGAGAGAGAGAGAGAGAGAGAGGAGGGAGAGGGAGAGGGAGAGGGAGAGGGAGAGGGAGAGAGAGAGAGAGAGAGAGAGAGAGAGAGAGAGAGAGCGTGCTAACTACCCAAGGTCTTTTACATCCTCTCCATGCCCTCCCTCCCCAGGGATCACCACTCTCCTGAACCTGGGGCACACATGTTGAGATTCCATCTTGTGTTCCAAAACTTCTTAGTCCTTGCTCCTGAAGGGCTGCAAAGACCTGAGTATAGTTCACACACAGCCACACTTAGCCATCCCTGTGTCTTTTGAAGTCTGGGCAAGATGGGTAAGTGCCCTTTTCGGAGGGCTGAATAAATCATTGTCAGCTGAGCCGGGCGTTGGTGGCGCACGCCTTTAATCCCAGCACTCAGGAGGCAGAGGCAGGCGGATCTCTGTGAGTTCGAGGCCAGCCTGGTCTACAGAGCGAGTTCCAGGACAGCCTCCAAAACAATACAGAGAAACCCTGTCTCGAAAAACCAAAAAAAAAAATAATAATAATAATAATTGTCAGCTGAGTAGAAGAGAGGGGAGCAGAGGACCCAGAAGGTTCCACTCTGGCAAGGTGGGTTCAGTAGTGACGAGGGTGTGGCTGAGGGTTGGGGATGGAAGCCCAATAGAAACCTGTCATAATAACCAGAGGCCCTGGCAAACACCCACTGACTAGGTGTGGCCATTGCACATGCCAATTAAAGAAATTAGTAATAGTAAAAGCAGAGGGCATTTGACCAATGCACACGGGCATCCAGTGGCCCCAAGTGCACTCTGCAGTAGGGACACCATTCGGGGAGAACAGAGCAGGGCAGGAGTCTGTACTGCTGTCTGTCCTTCAAGGCTCTGCTGTTCCTGTGATCTAAAGCGACTGGACAAGTGTAAATGTGTTTGGGGTCTGGAGCAGTCATCATCAAGGCTAAGCTAAGGTGCCTCAATGGTTCTTATCTTTGTGCCCTTGGCCTTAGAGAGGATAAGACAGGCTCTCTACCACTGGCTTTGTATCTGCTCCTGAAGTGACGAGCATCTGTGCCCAGTGAGGTGAGCAGGTGATCCAAACACCAAGTGAGAGGAGCGGTCACCTTCAGTCGCCTTACATCCAGCTTCCTTCTCCCCACACCCTATGACAAGTCTTGTGTATCCCAGGGTAGCCTCTAACGCTGAAGATTTGACACCTGCTTTTTATGTGATCCTGAGCTTAAACCCAGCTCTGCACACTAGTTAGAGAAGCATTCTGCCTACTGCTATACCACTAATGCTTAGCTACCTTCAAAGCCTAAGTGGAGAGTCGGTGTTTCAGTTTAAGGGTTTTTGTCTTCAACAAAAGCAGTTTCTATAACAGAAGGATATGCTCTGAGATGGAGAGCCACCTCCACAAGGGGTGTGTGTGTGACTGTGTGTGTGCTGCATGTGTGTGACTGTGCACGTATGTGCTGTGTGTGACTGTGTGTGCTGCGTGTGTGTGTGACTGTGTGTGTGTGTGACTGTGTGTGTGTGTGTGTGTGTGTGCTATGTGTGTGTGGTTCCCTGGGTCCAAGCTCAGCAGGCTTGACAACAAGTGCCTTTATCTACTGAGCCACCTCTCTGCTCCCCTGATCAATAGAAAGGACAACACCGGGTATCCCTTTCATCACTAGGAAAGCCAGCTGGGATGACCTGGCTGGGCCAAACCACGGTAGGGCCAGCCCGCCAGACCTGTTTCTAATCTCGGGATCTGGGTATGAGCTACCACCTCACGGGGAAAATGGACCTGCTTTTTTCTCCTCAATCTTCACACAGCTCAGACAAAGACCATTCAGCCTTCCTGTTTAACCTTAGAGTTGCCTGTGAAAGAGAGGCTGCCCACTTACATTCTAGTCTACTGAAAATCAAGGAATTAAAAAAATAAAAGTATATCTCATGGGGGACTGGAGAGATGTCTTACCGGCTAAGAGCTCTAGCTGCTCTTCCAGAAGACCCTGGTTTCAATTCCCAGGGCCCACACCGTGGATGACAACCATCTGTAACTCCAGTTCCAAGGGTTCTGGCACCCTCTTCTGGCCTCTGTGGGAACTGCATGCACGTGGTGCACAGCCAGAAACGCATGCAAAACACCCACAGACATAAAAATATTAAACCTAAAAACAAAACAGTATGCATTATTATGCCAGGAATGATGAAAAATACATATTATGCCAGCATTTGGGAGGCAAAGGTCAAAGGAATGCTACAAGTGTGAGGCCAGCCTATTCTACATATTAAGTTCTAGTCTCTATGGAAAAAGAAGAGCTGGAGGGCTACAGCGATGGATGCACAATTATGGGGACATGAGTTCGGATCCCCAACACCTATGTAAAAAGCCGTGCACTCCCACAGATGTAATCCCAGTGCTAAGGAGGCAGAGATAGAGAGCTCATTAGCCAGACAGCCCTGTAATCCTGGGTCAAAATGTGGATCAGGATGGAGGAGGACATTTGCGGTTGATCTCTGGCTTCTATGAAAATGCACATACACATGCATGTGCACACACGTGTGCATATGACACATCCACACAAACGTCTACATACAACACACAGATAAAATACAAATGTAACTCTGCATCCTATATGCTTAACTGGGTTGAATTTCAGAAAGGGTACTTTAGAGACTTTTCAGAAGTAACAGATAAAAATCACAATCTTCGGCCAGTTCTCAAAGCCCAGGTGAGGCTGACAATAACAATTAACTAAGTGGCTTATTGAATCGAGAGACATCCAGGTGTTCTCTTCGTAACTTGACCAAATGCTCAATAACTTTTTGGCCTATTCGCAGGACGTGCAGACATCGCCAAAACTGTTCAGAATGTTTTCATTACTGCCAAAAGAAACCAAAATTCCTCTCCTCCTTCCCTGACATTCCTCAGTCTCAGCATCTGGCAACTAACAGACTTTTTCTCTTTAGTTGTACCAATTCTGGACATTTCCTTTGGTGTCTGTCTCCTAATATTTAATCCAAAGCTTAGCTTATTCCTAGAGTGTACCTCCCCTACCCCTCTCTCCTCTCCCCTCTTAAGATAGAGACTCACTGTTTCCCTGGATGTCTTGGAACTCGCTGCCTCTGCCTCCTGAGTGCTGGGATGAAAAGACCCTAGCCATTGCCGCTTTTGGGGTATTGAATCTTGCGGATACGAGAAGAGTTGTGTACACGCTTTTGTGTTTTTTTGTATACCTGGAGTGGTTATATGGTAACTAACTCTTGTGTTTAATTTCTGAACTGCCCGATTGTTTCCCAAAGCAGCTGCCCCACTTTACCGCGGGCTGGCGCGGGGAGAAGAGAAAGAATTCCAGAAAAGGGCCTGCTTCCAGTTCTCCACCTCCAGCTCGGCCTCCGCAGGACCTCGAACCATCTCCCTTCTCTGCAAGGTCCCACCCCACCCCAGCCAAAACATTGTTAAGCGTATAGGAAACAGTTCCGTCTTCGTCCAGGCCCGCCTCCAGGGCACTCCTAGGCCCAAGGAAAACAGCCCAAGCCAGCAGAGGATGCCTGGACGTCGTAGTTCCTTTTCCAGTCGGCCGCTCAGAGACTACGAGAAGAAAAACTACAACTCCCAGAATGCCGCCGCGCTACGGCGGCCGAAGGGGCCAATTGGGCCGCAGAGCCCCGCCCCCTCGGGTTTGGGCGGCCAGCCAGCACGTCTGTAAACACGCCGGGGGCCTGTCATGGGGCGGGTGGAGGAGGCGGTGGCCGAGCGGGGAGGCGCCTGGGGCAGCCTCCAGGGTCCGCTCTGCCATTCCTGAACTGGTCCGGGTCCCCGTGACCGTGGCTTCAGGGAACTGTTAGGCGGAGGAGCAGGCAGTCAGAGCCATAGCCCCTTCTTCCCCAGGGCGGGGGCCGGGCCTGGCCGGCTGAGGCGGGGGAGGGCCGGGAGGGCGCCGGGCCGGGCCGGCCTGTCTGCGGAGATGGATGACAGCAAGGTAAGTCCTGGGCTGGCCGCCGCAGCCGCCTGCTTGTCGCCGCACGTAGTCCCGCCGCCCAGGCTCAGCTCGGAAGTCCACGCGAGCGCTCACGAAACACCTGCCGTAGATACCAGTGTGCCCCGGGCCCCTGGCACCCCGCCCAGGACACGGGAAGCACCGGGCTGCAGTTTTCTAGCAAGGGCCGTCGCCCTTGCAGATTTTCCACTCCCGGGGTAACCGTGCTTGCTAGGGGTTCCAAGGAGTGCAAACCCTCACCTGCAGGTCGAAATAAGTGAAGAAACTACCGTGCTTTTTTCCCTTTTGCCCTATCTTGTCCCCTCCCAGCGCCTTCCAGTTGGGAGAAATTAATTAGCGCATCCTGAACTCCACATAATCACCCTTGATGCCTCTCCCTCCTTCCCTCAGCCTCGCTCACTCAAAGCCCCATTCATATCATCAGTTCAGCCCCCCACCCCACCCCCTAGCTATTTCCCTGTGGTTGGTTAGAACCGTGCTTAGCTCCTGTTGCTATCTGGCCAGAGCCTGCGATCTAACCTCTAGCAATCTTCTTTAAAAAAAAAAAAAAAGAAAGAAAAAAGAAAAAGAAAAAAATACAGCATTTCTCCCCTTTTTAATCCAATTGAGTGGCCCATCTCCAGCTGTGTTTCAATCTCAAGCGCGCTTTTATGACTATGAAATAGTGCTCATTACTGGTTAACTAATGGATGTGTGGTCCTGTCTTCTCATATTACTCTCGCTTCACTTTTCATGAAGATAGGCGGGGCCAGAGAATTCCTTATTAGTGTTTTATGATGTCTGGGAGTTGGGTCTTTCATTTTAAGGAGTCAAACCTTTACATTTGCCTCTGTGGAGCAGGTTCTGTGCAGCCCAGGCTAGCCTCAGACTCTCTCAGTGAAGGGATGGTGGTCTTCGGCCCATCCTCCTGCCTCTTCCACCTGCCGAGGGCTGGGATGTCCAGTGGGAACCTCATGCCTGGCAAACGTCTTGTCAGTATTTAAAGCTTTCTTCCCATTAGCCTCCCTAATCATTCATAGTCTGTTATATTCCTTGGGAGAGCTTTTCCTCTAAGACCGCCCCCCTCTTTTTTTTTTTTCTCCGTATAACAACAAAATTCTGTTGCTCTTAAATTTTTTTTTGTTTCACAAAGCCTCAGACTGGTGGGGGGGGTGTCCAGTTTATCCTACTGATTGTTTTATTCTTCGTCAACGTTTCCCTTTTATGTGGAAGACTGAGAAGAGCGATAGCAGGGAGAGCCCAGTACTGTAATCTGCCTCCTGGACACACCTAGAAGAACCAATGGCTTTTGAAATAACAAACCCCTCCTGTGACAGGAAGTGGTATTTTCAAAATAGAAAGGGAGAGTTCTGATAGTTTTCCAGAAAATATTTTTCCAGTCTTTGCTACCTTGATCTTTCAGTGTTGATTCTGAAATGAAGTCTGTAAACTATATCCATTATCTTTCCCAGAAAATAATCTCAAGGATGTTGAAGGAATGTAGTATACATCTTTCTCAACTGGAGTTTGCACGGGATGCAATTTCCAGTTGTATTTTTTTTCCAGACCTTTGAAGTATTCAACAGCTTTTTTAAGGTCTCTGATAATTTCAAATAAAAGTACATACAAATTTTTAATTACTTTACTTACCAAAAAAAAAAACCCATACGATTTTTCGTGTTTGTTCTTGAAAGGAGTGTTTGTTTTTAGAAAAAGAGTCTTGTAGCCCAGGTTGGCCTTCCAGTTCTCTGTGAAGTGAAGGACAACCTTGAAGTTTTGACCCTCCTCCCTCCACCTGCTACCGTACCTGGGGGTGTGTGCTACCATACCTGGGGAGGTGTGCTAGGTAACCATGACTGTGAAACAGTGACACTGCTATTGCCTGATGTGCCCCAAGTGTGCTCACCAGCCAGCGCAGACATACTGTTGCAGCTAGGAAAAAAGTAGATCATAAGCTAGAATCTAGTTGCTGGATTGAACACCTAGGAAGGGGGCTTGGGAACGTGCTGAGCAATAGACTCAAATACTGATTTCCAAGAATCCTGTTAGGTTAGATAGGAAAGAAAAGCTAGCTAGGTGGCTGAAGCTCTCTGAGCTCTACCTCCTAGTCTTTTAAATGGGGCCTTCCCTTCTATGAGGCTTGCTCAGGCGGGGTTCAAGATGGTACCCCTACGAGTGGTTAGTACTGACTCTCACACGCAGTCAGTACTCAGCAAACACGACTTTATCATTTACCAAGAAGAGACATCTGTGGGTTCGGACATCCTTGTTTTAATCATTCCTAAGTGATATTTGAGGCCATGTTTATACTTATACTAGATAGCACCCCTAACTATACCCCCAGACAGGACAAGAGCAGCATGATGGGACATAAAATGACTTGATCTCTGCCCTTATGTTGTGTGACAAAGGTCACTTTCCAAAGCTTCCTATGCATCTTCCACTAGGAAGAAGTTTTGTGGGTTTTTTTTTTTGAGAGCCTCTTTTTGACCTGCAGTCTTAAAAGAAAGCAGAGATACCTTACTTTAAATCACAGAGGTTCTTGTTTTTATTGTCTGACTTTTATGTTTACTGAATGAATAGGCTGAAATATTCTAAAAACAGATGTGTTCTTGCCTGTCTGAAGACTAGCTAAAGACCTCTACTGAGTATTGCCCCGTCCAACACTCACCAAGAGCACTTTAGCAGAGTGACAGGGCAGGCGACAAACCATGTCCAGAGAAGCACACACAGTAAGTATAGAGCCCAGGCAGGCATTGCTAAGGTCCACACAGTGTTAACTGTACCATACTACTTAGCTCCGGGGTCTATCAGAATAGTTGTGTGTGGCCCCTGGGGTAGGCCTGAGGTAGAAAGGGGGGTGTGGGAGTTAGAGATGTCTGCATTCTCTTCCTTCTCCTGATAGGAGAAACTGACAGAAAGGTTAGCAACAGGAAGATGTGGTTACATTCTCTTGCTTTCTGAAACTCTCGTTTAAAAAAAAGTCCTAAGCCACACAGTAAGGGAAGTCCCTCAGAGCCCCAGAGAGAGACTCTCCTGCCATTTCTTGAAGGTGGAGAGGGGCAGTGGCTAGGACACAGCTGTCTCCATTAGCCAGCAGGTGCTGTGTGTTCCCAAGGGAAAGGTGAAGTGAGGCCCCTTTATGTCTTAGTTGAGGCTGTGACACCACTTCTCTTCACCACTGATCTTTAATTAGTTGCCATAAAAATTAGCATTATAGTCAGAGGTGTGAGTCTAGCACTTGGGAAGCTGAGGCAGAAGAAAATGCTGTGAGTTCAAGGCTGTTCTGGGCCTCACAGTAAATTTAGGTCAGCCTGGGCAATCTCAAAAAGCAAACAACCCACAAAAACCACTAGAGCATTTGAATGTAAATAAATGCATAAAAGATGGCAAAATAGAGTTTTGCAGTATTTGGTCACTGAGCGCAGGAGTAAATTTCTGCCTCTTCCTGTAGGCCACCTGAGGTGACCTGTGAAATGGTTCATTGTTCTCTTGACCCAGAAACCTTACAGGAGAGATGGTTGAAGTGGTTAAGAGCACTGGCTGCTCAACCGGAGCACCTAGGTTCAGTTTCTAACACCCAAAGGGTGATATAACCATCTGTAACTCTAGTCCAGGGTGGCCAGTGCCCCCAGGCCTCCAAGGGCATCAGACTTACATGTAGGCAACACATCCATACTCACAAAAATAATTAAAACAAAACTTTTTAACGGTTCAAGTCTTCACACTTACTTTAAGATCACATGTAGAACTGCCCAGGCCTTTAAAGATTTGCATATCTGAAAAGCCACCAAGTATCTGAAAGATGTCACTTTAAAGAAGCAGTGTAATAGCAACAAGACTGCACACAGGGTCAGTGGCCCAGAGAGGCTGAATTTTACTGCACATGGTTAGAGGAACAGAGAGCAATGCTGAACTCAAGGGTTTAGATGTAGATTCTCTAGTCACTGAACACAAAGCACCCAAGATGTGCCATTAACCCAGGAATGAGCTTCCCCTACCCCACCACACTGAGATGATCATCACTGAACATGAACAAGTTGTTCCAAAGCCAGAAGAGGAGGCTGCACAGAAGAAAAGACATTCCAGAAGAAACCAAAGAAACAAATTCAGCATAAAAATAGGCAAGTAGAAGTTTTTTTTGAAAGGATTGGATTTCTCCTCTTTACCTGAAAAGGATGAGGATAGCTGTATTCATGGGAAGGGGTGAGGTGTCATGAGCGGGGGAGGTGAGGGACTCCTCACTCAGTTGACAAACAGTGCTTTCTCATGCACACATTTATCCTCGTTTTCCCCCAAAAGACTGGAGGTAAAATACTCTAGGAGGCTTTGGAACAGGATAAGAGTTTCTTACTTCGAGAAGTCCAGGAAGTTCCTAGAGAACACACAACTACAATCACGGCCTGGCTTTTTGCAGAAGTCAGAGCTGTCCCTGAAGCCTGAGCTATCTTTAACAGCCTCAGACCTTGCAGACTGCTTTCTTGCTGGATCTTAATTCCTGGCTCATTTGTGTATTCACCTATTTGCTTATTTATTTACTTTAGGTTTTGTTTTGTTTTGAGACAGGGTTTTTTTGTGTAACAGCTTTGGCTGTCCTGGAACTCCCTTTGTAGACCAAGCTGGCCTGGAACTCATGGAGTTCCTCCAGCCTCTGGCTCCAGAGTGCTGGGACTAAAGGCATACACCACCACACCTGGCAATTCTTGAATTTTAAGTCTCCTAATTAGAACAGGTAGCACTTGTTCTCATAAGTTTCTGTGTCGGTCACTCCGTGATGGAGATGGGAACTATGTGTGCTACACGGGTGTTCTGCTAAGCAGTGCCCTCAGCCCATATGTCATTCCCGCAGCTGAGGATGACGGTAAACTCCTGATCCTTCTACCTCCACCTCAAGTGCCGGGATGACAGCAGACATGTACACTATTCCAGCTCTGTGTACTGTCTTTGGCTCTTCACTCTCTACTGTTCATTTTACTTTAAAAAGTTACTGCATTAGTGGAGAA